CCATCATTGTTGTTTGGCGGGCCTGGGCTGGATTCGAACCCGCCACCTTAGGTGTATGTGGCTGGTGCCTTAGCCACTTGAGCTATAGTGCCGAGCCTGCTGATTTTATCTTCATGGTGTTGTATTGTAGTTTAACATGTTTTCTGTCTCCTGTATTTCCTATAAATTGATATTTAGACTCAGAGTCTTGATCTATTTCAAATTTGGTTATTTTCAACAGAATTATTTTTTATCTTTTAAAATTTTTTTATTTTTTATCTACATCTTATAGTGTACATAATCTTGCTCAGTAGTGTATCTATATAATTTATAAAAACACATATGGGGGGCTGTTAAAGTTATTCTTTCTGATCATAGTCCACAATTGAAAAAGTTGTGCAACTACTGCAAAGAATGTTAGGGTGGCCACTTTCAATGCAGTTCATCCTAATGCTGGAGGACTTGGAGTAGACCACTTTATGTTGAAACTTACTGGTTCACTTTATAGTTAATTATATAGTTTTATATGTGAATATATGGCTCATCTGTCAAAGTTAAAATACTGTTGTTCCATTCTAGGATCTGTGGTTAGAGTATTTGAACATGGAGCGCATTTATCATGAGTTTCAGGAAACAATTGGTCTGTGGATGCAGGCCAAGCTTGAGTCCCATTCCACACCCTGCAGTTTGTCAGTGCAGCTGGACTTTACCGATCCTCTGTTGGGTGAGTCATGTGAGCATCAGCCCCATGAATGAGTGAGTGAATGACTGAATCAGAGCCACTGGGGGTTGAGGCTTACATGCTTTATTCCTCCAGTGTTCCTTTTTACGTGTGATGCTTTAAAAAGACATTTCAAGTTACTTACACTTAACTTAAAGGGCAACTTTAATTATTTTGAGTTTGCAGTTTAGAAGTCTATCTTTTTCTTTTATAAACTCTTTTTCCTTGTACCTGAAACCCTTATCATACAAATAGAACATATTCCTGAAGTTCCTAAGTTGCTTATATCTCTCAGAACATTTTTCTAGCGAAGCAGGGTTATAAATTATTAGCTTCTATGCCAGGCCATAAGAGCCCATAAAGTCACTGACAAATTTCAGAATAAAAAAGGCCAGAAAATGATATTTGGGGTCACATATTAATTTCAATTACTGAATATATTTTTAAAATATAGGACATATAGTAAAATTGTAAACACAATTATTGACTAAAATATTGAAATATTATTGACTGACGTATATAGTAGTAGTGATTTTCAACTGGTGTACCGTGAGAGGATCTTAAGTGTGCTATGAAAAATTTTAAAGATCATTAATTAAATTATTTTTGAAAGAAGTTCAAAGCACAGTAAATACATTTTTTAACTCTTTTTTTGGATCACCATAATTTAAGTGTGCCATGGTAGTTTTAATTATAGGTTCATGCATGCCATGAGATAAAAAAGGTTGAAAAACACTGATATATAATGTAATAAAGAGATTAAGAGAAAGGAAAAAAAACCTTATTCTATCTTTGTCACTAACCAACTTGTTAGTTGAGTGAAGAGAGAAAAATAAGAACCTTCTGAGGCTTTAGTTCATTCATCTGTAAATGAAAATGTTGGACAGTCTCATCTATAGAAGGCTCTAAAATTTTTCCCTCCAACTTCCTTCTTGTTTTTTCCTAAAATAATTTCTTTTTATGGTTGTAAAAGTTGTATATGTTCACTAAAAAAAAATTAAGTGTGATACAGAAAAATATAGAGAGAAAGGTATACAAATTGCTCACTTCAACTCTATACATTCTAATTTGTCTGTTTCTGAAAGTTTGTTAAATGAGAAGAAGAGGTATGTGGATAGATCTGGAAACTACTGAATGCTTTCTGTTCATGCCCTGCCATCTGTAGTGTTTCCTTGATACTTAAACACTGCTCTAAAAGTTTACTTGTTTTCTTTGGAGTTAAGTTAGTAATTTATGAAGCCCTTAGTTTGTTCCAGGCACTGTCCCATTACTTTATATGTATTAACTCAGTCCTCACAACAGCCCTGTGTGGGTTATCCCTGTAGAGCAGATAAGAAACTCGAGGTATAGGCTGGTTAGGCCGCTTGCTCCTCATGCGAGCCACGTGGCTGGCATGTGGCACAGCTGTCTGGTCTCAGTGCCCTGTTCTTCACCACTGGTATGCTACCTCTTGTTTCTGGCAATCAGAACAGGTTGCAATTCTAAATAAAATTAGGCCCTAGATTTCTAAATAATAAGTTTCTAAATAATCAGTCTCAGATGATAATAGGGTAGGTGACAATATCAAATGATTGAACTTATGGCTCTGATTGAATGCAGGAAAAATTCCAGCAGCACTCTTGCAACACCATGTTATTTTTCTTGAACTAAATTTGTTTTGTTGGCTTCAAAATTTTTGTCAATTGTGGTCTAGTGATTACAATTAAATATGCTCTGAATTTAAATGTTTACCTTTTGTATTTTAAATGTTATTCTTGATTTTTCTTTTTTTGGTAAGTGATACTGAGTTTGAAAGAGCTCTTAGCTTTCCTTTAGAATCATGGCTTATAATGTTGCTTAGAAGAAACTTTAACATAAATAGCCACAAATCTTATCTGATGATGAATACTCAACTTTGTTCTAGTGGAAAAACACCAGCTATAAGGGACAGTGTTGTATTTGACCTGTTTGGAATGTTAAATTACATCTGTTTGGGGTACAAACAATACCAGTCTCCTTATGCCAAGTAAAGTCATGGCTGTTAAATTTTTTAGTGATTTTTCTTAACAAGAATAGAAAATTGAATATTGCATCTGGAATGAAATCGGAAATTCATAGTAGTGCCTTAAGTGCTTGTTGACTTGACTTACTGACTTGAAGTTTCCTTGACCTCGCCCTTCCTTTCTCATCTTACTATTGAAAAGGTTTGAGTATGTAGCAGCATTTTCTTCATGTTCTTTAGTTGCCATGTGTGTTGTGTGGTGAAGAGAGATGTCCAGTAGGGATTTACTAGATATCTACTATGTATTTAGCTCAGTACTTGGGGTAGAAATATCAGACATTCAAAGTTTATTAACCAGTATGAGGCCATCTGCAATCTAGGGAAAAGTGTGGTATAGATTCACTTTTATTTTTTTGTATGGCACTGGACCACTTTTCTGGGCTCCATAAATCATTTGTTGAGTGAATGATTGCTAGACTGTATGGCTGTAAAAATATAAGTGCTGAAGGAGCTTGTGCTTAATTGATTTTATCTCTTACTACTTCCAGCTGTCCTGTTCAAACCTTGACCTAATTTCAGCCTTTTTACTCATCTGTATTCCATGATAGCCATTACTTTCCCTACTATTCCTATGAATTTTATGTGGGTGATGACATTAAAAAAACTTTAGCTGTCTGCATCCAGACCTATTCTACTCACCTAGTCCATTATCCAGATTAGTGGTTCTCAGCCTGTGAGTTGCAACCCATGGGAACTGTATTAAAGGATTGAGGCATTAGGAAGGTTGAGAACCACTGATCCAGATGATAGCTGCTTCCTGTTGCAAGTTCATTTAGGGCCATTCACTAGATTCCCTTTACACTAATATCAGGTCTGAACTTCTCAGCACGACATGCAAGGCTGTCTAGGATAGAAACTTAAGAAGTTAAAGACATAGCTCGTTATCATTTAACAAAACTTTTTGAGGTTAGTAATTCTATCGAATTGTACTTTGTGCTTCTGAGCTCCTTCTCATTTGCCCATTACTTAATAAATAAATATCACTGAATTTTCTTTCAGCTAAAGGAAGGGTTTTGAGTAACTTGCGGAAGCATGAGGCTCCCCAGCCTGCCCTCACTCTGCAGCCGATGAGGCCTCCTGTCCCAGTCATTTCCTCAGCTGTGCTCCTGAGTCAGGAGGACGCCACCCAGCTGGTGTGTGCAGACCTGAATCTGTTGCAGCAGCAGGCCCGGTAAGACCGTGTACGCTCAAGGATCACGTTGCCGTGTTCTGGGTGCCTGGATGATTTACTACCTGGAATGGCTTCCTTGTCAGCATTTTTACCATGAGGTTAATTGGACCAGCCTGGCTCAGACAGTTCACTTGGTTTAACCGAGTTGTGACAAGTCTTTTAATTTCACATTGGAATTCCGTGGCATCCTCACGGACTACCTATGTCACACGTTTCCTGTGGTAGCATTTCTGAGTGCCAGCTAAGATTTTCCTGTGCTTCCCCTGAGGACTCTCCTTCAGATACTGGAAAGGTGGTGTCGGGAGAGTATGAAATGACATTTTTCTTTCTTTTGTCATTGCTTGGCTCTCCGACTCTTCGTATTCTTTTAAAAATTGACATGGGGTGTCGGCGCCTGTAGCTCAGGGGCTAGGGCACCAGCCGCGTATACCAAGGCTGGCGGGTTTGAACCTGGCCTGGGCCAGGTAAACAACAGTGACAACTGCAACAAAAAATAGCCGGGCATTGTGGCAGGTGCCTGTAAGTCCTAGCTGCTTGGAGGCTGAAGCGAGAGAATCGCTTAAGCCCAAGAGTTTGAGGTTGCTATGGGCTGTGATGCCACGGCACTCTACCAAGAGTAGCAAAGTGAGACTCTGTCTCAAAAAGCAAAACAAAAAGAAATTGATATGGGCACTTGATTGAAGTGTGAGAAAGTCATTTAGTATCTTGAGTTCACATGGTAGCTCCAAAATGATCACCTGTTTAAGGTTTTGATTAGAACTTGTGATCTTGTGAAAAGGGGTGTATGTGGAGTAAGTCGATTTTATTAACAATAAATGAGCCTCGTTTTTGCAAATTCCAGGTGAATCCATTTCCTATTGGCAGTTTTTCCTTGGCTGTTTTTGATCCAGGCATTTGAGTGTGCATTCTGTGCACACATGAACACCTGCCCATTAATGTAATAACAAATATGATCATACTAGTATTGAAATGACATGTGCACCATTAGCTTTCTTGGTCTTTGACATTTCAGATTGAGTTGCTAATACCTAAAAAGTCATTGGTGCCTACAATTAAGATACCCTTTTAGGATGATTAAACTAGGATAGAATTCTCATTTATTCATGTGTATTTTAAGCTCCATTTAAAAATATTGTTGACATAACATTGACTAAATGGAGTTTTTGTTTCTGGCTCAAAAGTTATCTTTATTTCTTAGCTTTCTGTTTAGCCTGTCTGCCAGGGAGATACTTGGGCACGTCTTGGGTTACATACTTCTGGTCTTTTGCTACCATGAAATACTTGTGCCATACTGTGCTATAATGCTGGCTGGGGATACCCAGAAGCTTTCATCACTCGTCATTTATTTTTCCTAAGACTTTCTTTTACCTCCTGATGATGTTTTTCAGAACTGCAGCTCTTCGAGAATCTCAGCAGGTGGCTTTGGATGGTGAGCTGTTGGACACAATGCCCAAACAGTACGTTAATCGAGAGGAGCAGACCACACTGCAGTTGGAATGCAGAGGCAGTGGTGGTAAGAAATGCCAAGGTGCTGTGCTTGTAACAGTTCAGGTAAGATTGTTTAAGTGTCTTCATAATTTAGAAACTTTTAATTGGTCTGGGTGCAGTGGCAAGACGAGGTGGACTGCTTGAGCTCAGGAGTTCAAGACCAAGAATGAGACCCTGTTTCTACTAACTAAAAATAGAAATACTAGCTGGGCATTGTGATGGGTACCTGTAGTCCCAGCTACTCAGGAGGCTGAGGCAAGAGGATTGCTTGAGCCTATGAGGTTGTGATAAGCTATGATGATGCCATGGCACTCTACCCAGGGTGACAGAGTGAGACTCTGACTCAAAAAAGGAAAATCAAAAAGAAAATTTTAATTGAGTCCCTGATAGTGGCATATCAGTAAGACAGATTGAAAGAAATATACAACACATGATCCATTCTCAAAACATTTAATGGTTTTAAGGGGAGTGAAAACACGCACAGGGCTAATCACACATTTCCATAAGTGCCAGATGAATCCTACAAGACAGATATTTAAATAGGGATTCGAAGAAAAGCAGAATCTTTGAGAAGATTCTTAGAGAGAGAGGCTTAATCTGATTCTTAAAAAATTTTGGCAATGCTATATGGATAGAGTTAAAAAGGAATAGGGCAGGGCGGTGCTTGTGGCTCAAAGGAGTAGGGCACCGGCCCAGTATACCAGAGGTAGTGGGTTCAAACCTGGCCCAGGCCAAAAAC